AAAAAAACTACATTAAGGAGAGTTTATTTCCTGTGTGTTCCCTGGAGAGAGTGTGTGTGAGAGAGATACACCTGATTGCAGAGGTACAAAGTGGGAGTCTTTCAAAAATAGGAGTGCATGGATTGCTCTATCTATGTCCAAATGTACAGAATTATGACTTATGAAACACGTATAATAACACTCTTCGAACCCAGAAAAACAGGTGCACCTCTGGGAGGCTGATGCCAGCTGGCAGACGACTTGCCCTTGCCCAGAGTTGTCAGCTGGCAGCGTCTTCCCAGGACGGTCAGTCCAGCTCAGTGGAGTGGCCGATCTCTGTGTGGCAGCAGCCTGAGGTCTGTTTCCTTCGGGCGTCTGTTTCCATTTCTGTCTTCTCCAAGGCAGGAAGCCAAACAAGGAAAGTAAGCGGGACTGAGGAAGGCTTTGGTTCTTTGGCTTGCTCAGAAAATATATGCCAGCGATTAAATTTGTAAGAAATTCACTTCGAAACAATGGCTACGTAGGTAAATAAAACTTTTATCTTTATATTATTGCTATTTATCAATTGTAAGCTTCAAAGTGTGTTTGTTTTCCTTAAAGATTTATTTATTTATGCATACAAGAGCTGGGGTGCAGACCAGAGGTGATAGGGAGTGAAAGGATTCCCCAGAGACCCCAGAGACAGAGCGGGGAGCAGAACAGGCAGATCTACTGAAACCCACTGCTGAGGGGAGCCGCGGGGAGACAGGAGAGGTCTGCCTCGCCCGGGCGTCACTCCCTGGCCGGGGATCGAACTCGCGCAGCAGTGGCTGCAGACAGCTTCATAGTGCTGGGCTTTAACCCCGGCCACCAGGGAGGCCCCAAAGTATGTTTGATTGTGATGGCACGAGACAGTAGCAGGAGTGTGGGCAGCGTGGCAGGAGGCTGCAGTGCCCAGATCTCCTCCTCCTCCTCGCCTAAGAGGGTGGCATTTCCTCCCTCCAGACCTGGCTTAAGAGTCAAGCATGGAGAAAGCTTGAGGTTCTGGAGAAGGGACCCGGCCCCAGTCCCTTCTCTCTTCTCATTTCTCTAACGGTTCCCCCGGGGCCCCACTGCTTCTGAGGCTCAAGCTTACTAAAGGTAGTAGTGTACCCATGAACGGCTCTTTACCCAGCAAAGGACACATTTGCAGACTCAGAACTCAAAATTCCCTGAGTTCTACCACATTTTATGGGGAAAGAGAGTTGATTTCAAGTTCAAGTGTGAATGGGTTATAAAAGACGGGAAATCTTTCCTCACTCCACCGATTTAAAATTGAAATTTCCTGAAAAGTCTTCCCAAGTTTCACTATGAAATTCATACATCCCCGTCCTCTAATAAATCACCCAGCCTTGACTAAAGTCACACGAGGGAGCTTCAGCTCAGACCAGGAGGGCCTGACTGAGCGCTGTTGTTCTTGCACGACGCCTGTTCTTAAAGGTCCACACGAGGGTTCTCTTTGAGATTCTGCCCTCAGTTCTGTGGCTGAATACACAGGAGGGGATTGCTAGTCCTGTGGTAGCTCTGCACCTCACTTTTGAAGGAACTTCCTCACATGTCCACAGCAACCGCACCAGCTGTGCTCCCGCCGATAGCACGCAAAGTCCTACTTTCTTCATGCCCAGAACTGAGATCAGGATCTTGGGGTGTCTGCATTTCCGCATTCACTGCCTCCTGGCTCACCATGGCCAAAGGAGACGACCGAATGCCCAGCGACGGATGAGTGGATCAGAAAGGCACTCTGTGGGTATAATGGGGTATTACACACCCTTTGAAAGCGAGGCAGCTCTGCAGTCTGCAGGGAGAGCAACCTTGAGAGCTTAATTCTGAGTGAAAGTAGCTAGTCACAGAAGGATAAGGCCCGTGTGAAGCCATCCAGACCAGGTATTTACTGTCGTCCGTTCAGTAGACTCGAGTGCAGTGGTCGTGTCTTTGGGGATTGCTAATCCGTGGGCAGAAGGTTGTAGAGCTATGATGCCTCTAGAGAGGCTTGGGGGCCTCTCACCGTGAGCCCAAGCTCGTAGTCCCTGGCGTCCCCTTCAAGAGCCAGGCCCAGCCAGCTGACAGCAGGCCCTCCTGAGCCTTCCTGGGGTTCTGGGGACCCTGTGTCCCGAGGAGCAGCGAGCAGGGCGTGAAGCATCCCTCGCCCGCGGCTTAGACCTCTGATGAGTCAGCAGCGGCCCAAGTCAGGGCATTTCTAGGACAGGCTGCGCACTGTTTCCAAACCGCTGTTTCTAGCAACAGTGGGCCTGTGGTCCCCTGGCCTCGCTGCCCCTGGTCTCCAGCGCTCACGTGGCCTCACAGAGGTGGTGAGGACAGAGTGACCAGGACCTCCGGGCCTCTCCTGCGTCTCCAGCGGGTAAGTTGCCGAGAAATAAGGGCATCAACGCTCAGTGATCAGGGCTGTAGCATCACGCACGTCCTCTGGTGTGTGTGTGTGTGTGTGTGTGTGTGTGTGCTCACTACAGCTTGTGCACTTAGCCAAACATACGACACCACACGCTTAGGAGGCCGGGAGGGCGCGTCACCGATGGAAAAGCCGAGGGGGAACAGGATGAGAGCTAAGAGCAGCAACAGCAACCTGGGAGCCCCTTGCTGGGACGAGGGATGAGAGAGACGCTCCCAGGACATCAGCCAGTGAGGCCCGAGCCTGCTCCCTCCTCCTTCTCGAAGCTCCTCAATTCCAGATCCTCAAAGGCGGGGGTGGCCTCCCAGTTCTCTCCGCCCTCCCCCTGTGGCAACTAACTCAAACCCGCTTCTCACCCAGTAATAAAAGACCTGTTTGTCTTCATTGCTGTCTCTGTTGGTGATGATGGAAGAGCTTCAAGTGATCCATCACCAGGAAAACTCAGGAGACAACCTTGACCTTCATGAAGAAATTCCCACTGCGGACTCTTGATTTGCAAAGTGCCTGTAAAGTACTTTGGCTTCTACTTGCAAACATTTGTCTGCCCAGCACATGATCGAGCCCCGGCTGAGACCTGATACTGCATCTCCATCAGCCGCGGGCTGCAGACTTCGCTTCTTCAACGAAGAGTTTGCACATAGGAACAACTGTCAGGGTAAAAATGCCACGTTTTGTTACAAGAGGCTTGAATATTTTGAAAAAGTCAACGTCAGCACAGAAAATGCAATGATAGGGTGGCGGGCCACAAAAAATGTAAGTTTTCTGAAATTTAGCGCCG